TCTATCTATCTATCTATCTATCTATCTATCTATTTCCCTCTCTATCTATCTCAATCTGTCTCTCTCTCTCCCTCTTTCTCTATCTCTGTCTCGCACTCTCTCTTCTCTCCGCCACTTCTTCCCTCCTCGATCACTTTACTTCCCTCTCCCTTTCCCCCTCACTTGGCATATGACTAACCCTTCTCCCCTCATTTGGTAAATTTTCAGGGTGCGAACGGCAAGAAGAGATCAGACCTCACTTGGTGGAGAAAGAGGGCAAGGGGAGGATAGACGGTCCCTTGCGCCACCAAGAAGGCAAAGGAAATGACGGTTGAGAAAGTGGAAAAAAGAGGTGGAACCCGATAAAAAGTATAGGTGAAAGCAAGGTCAATTTGACTCAACCATTTCCCCGACTGCATGAGTATGAGAAGAGGATGGGCTGATTGAGGAACAAGAGGGAACAAAGAGCAGCGAAAGAGTTTGAAAAGATAGGCATGTGGGAAGGGCTATGTGTTGATCCCCAATGGGGGATTGTATGAATCTTCTTGCTTGTGTGGGATTGTGCAGGTGAGTGATGGCTAGAAATGCCTTGAGCGGGATAGGGCCGAGAGGAACTGGGCACCAAGAGGGAAAGGGAAGAGGGACAAAGGGACTATGGGACCCTTGACATAGAGCCAACCCATGAAAATGACTTTTACGCTTGAGAATTGGAGTGTAAATGGGAGTGCAGTCATACCGAGGAAAATGTGATGTTGTGTGTGCATGCATATAAAGGCCCCGAAAAGACTAAGGGGCCTACTTCAATAAGGTTGAAAGCAAATTGTGAGACCCGAGGGATGCGTAGAGGCGAGGGAGAGGACGGCTTCGCCGCACCCCGATGACGCCATATAGCCACAATGCTTAGGGAAATGGTGCGCGGCCTAAGGATGACACTTAGCCCACGCACAAGAGAAGAGAAACACTCAAGGAATCATTGGACTGTCTGCGCATTGGAAGGAGCAATTGCATGAGAACACAACAAAGAATAAAAAAAAAAATCAGCGTTGCGGAACGACCAGCGAGACTACCACCCGGCGTGAGGGTTGAGCTACATCCCCAATGCCAAAGCTCTCTCGCGCGATGACCCACCCCCATCCATCTCAAAGCACTATGTGGGGGTGACCTAGGGACGAACAGCCCACGCCCTGAGCATGAGCGTGGGCGGGCCGAGCAAACTGGGATCCGCAGTGGGGTCGACTAAGGATCGAAAGTCTACCGGGGTTTGACCCTACACCGGTTTCACGAGTAGACTGCCTTCCACCCTCAGCAAACCCCGGATCTCTCTACAAGGCCTCACACTCCTGCTATTAGCAAGTTACAGGGCAACGTCCCAGCTCCGGGCAGCGTCGTGCTGGCATCGGCAAACCAAGGGCACATAATAGAGCAACTCAGTTGAAATCAGTCCAGGTTCAATCATCTCTGAAGTCCTATATCCGAATGTGGAAGAATGTTAGACGCTGCCAAAACTTTAGAACACCAAAAAGCTTAATATAACAATATCAGATGATGAAACTAATGGTGTGATGATGATGATGATGATGATGATGATGAAGTTGATGATGATGATGATGCTATATCAGCTATTCTGGGCTCCTAATCCCAGTACAACTCCTAGCCCTCCCTGTACCAGGACACTATACTACAGAGACAGAAACAACCTGACCAACATCAACCATAGCTGATCTCTTCTCGCCTCCTCTCAGCACTCTCCGGTTCACCACTGAGATGCCTTCCACCCTCAGCAAACCCCAGATCTCTCTACAAGGCCTCACACTCCTACTATTTACACGTTACAGGGCAACGCCCCAGCTCCGACCAGCGTCGTTCTGGCATCGGCAAACCAAGGGCACAGAACAGAGCAACTCAGAAGATATCAGTCCAGGTTCAACCATCTCTGAAGACCTATATCCCGGATGTGGAAGAATGCGAGATGCATCCAGAATTTCGGAACACAAAAGAGCTTAATATAACAATAATCAGATGATGATAGCCAAGAATTTCAGCACACCTCCATTCTCTCCATTACCCTATCTATCCCTCTACTCTAATCTGCCCCCGCTGGGATTTGATGCCCAGCCCCAGAAAAGAGTATTCCTCACAATCCGCCCATACCCCCTCCAGGATTCCACCTCCCTCCTAATGAAGCCCCTGCAGGGCAGAGCTCTCCCCTACCCCCTCACCAAATTGTCATTCGTCCATTCGAAGCGGAGAAACAGCCTCTCGCCGGAGTCGTTAGAGAAGCTTATCTACATTCACTAGAACATGCAACTGTTGCGCGTTCCAGACAGCAAGGAGAGTGGCTACGTTGACGTGTGGGGGTCCTTCTTCGAGCCTTTGATGGAGCCGACGCCAGAAGAGTAGTCTGTTGAGGAGGGCACGATGGACAAGACTGTGGACAATGTGGACGAGGAAAAAAGGCAACGAAGATTGGTAAAGGCTCCTAAAGGACGTGTTCCAAAGGGACTTGCGGATGATGACTCCAGCGGGAGCAGCGACTTCGAGCATCTCGTTTGGAAGGGGAAGTGTTGGAACAAATCCACTTCCGACGAGAGCGAAGACGAGGATGGTATAGGCGATGACTCCGATTTCGAGTTGGGGGCCAAGCCAGCAGTACCCGCCACCACATACGTTAGTCGGAGGCTCGCGAGGCGAGAAAAGGAGGCTGAGGTGCTGCCGTCCGAGCCAGTTATGAGTGTGGACACAGACATTGAGTTCTTGACGCACACGGTGCCTGATGCAGTTAACCCAACGAGTGACGCACATGAACCGCAGCTTGACGCAGACAAAGAGGAAGCAGTGCGGGCAAAAGCCATGGCGGACAAAGATGTTGCTCGTGTTCAGCAGCGTATGCAGGAGGAGGAGGCTCAGCGTGCTGTTGTCCCGATGGAACATGAAGAAGCAACAAATTTGCAGCAGGAGGGAGTTCACTTGACGGAGATTGTAGGAGAGCAAATGGAAGGACAGGGAGAAGAGCTGCAGCAACCACCACCCACGGCGTACACACGAAGACTCCGGCCCCCTGCACTGCAGCTGCCTACAGCGCTAGAGGAGCACGAGGATCAACAGGTTGTAGCTGGGGAAAAGCAGCAGGAACTGCAAGCACCAGTCCGAGTAGTAGCACACCTCATTGCCAAGCCACCATACCCTGCACAAAATGAGGATGCCCAACATGATAACCTTTGGAAAAGCAGGGCGGGGAGAAAGAGGAAAGTTCCGGTGGATGACGTCCTTGCAAAGCCTCGCCGAGGTCGAGGCAGGCCCCCCAACCCAAAGACGGGTGACAATGCTCGAAAAAAGAAACAGTGTCATCCAGGCAGGCGCCACAAAGTCGAAGTCGCTGAGGATGACCCCTCTTCGGATGAGGGAGGTGTGGAGTCGCCCGAGGATTGGATGGACCAAGGGGATTCCGAATGAGTTCGTGAGTGTGTGTGTGTGTGTGTGTGTGTGTGTGTGTTTGTGAGAGAGAGAGAGAGAGAGAGAGAGAGAGAGAGAGAGAGAGAGAAAGAGAGAGAAAGATCTGATGCAGACACGTGAAACTACTGCAGATCGTGGACTTAGGAATTTGGAAGTCCCTGCTCAATGCTGTCAATTTTCTGTCCTCTCTCTGTTCTTCTTTTTCTTCTGCTTGAACTTCTTTTCATCATCGTTGTCTTCTTTGCATTCGTCTTACTCACACTGTTGGTGGTCTGGTCTTCTATCTGAAATGTATGCTGCTGCTTCAGGGCCTGCCACTCGAGACCCCCACCATTAAACCCATGTGAAAGGTTGGAACTTGAAAGGGAACCATCACCCCATGAATCCTCCCTTCCCCCCCAACCCCTCCCTCCCCCTCCCCCTCCCCCTTCCCCCCAAAAAAACAAATTTGAAGTTTCAAAGTTTCTCAGCGGAAAAAGACAGATCCCAATGAGCACAGTCCAATCCCGCTTTCAAAAAAAAAAAAAGGTTTTTTTGCTTAATCCGGTTTTCCGGTTGGCCCCCTCCCCCACTGATCCGGATCCCGGTGGACCAGGGTGAGTCAACCGGCCAGTTCCCAGGCCAGCCCTGGTTTTGAACGCACTTCAACATTGCATCGATGCAATATTTTTTTGATGTTTTTGTTATCCTCTTCTGGAGGAAGTTGAATGTTCAACGACCAGCTTGATTGGATGGCATGAGCCTGCAGAGCTCGAAGTTCTAGTCCAGAATTCAGAATCAAAAGTTATCAACTCGATATGATGATGATAATAGAGACTTTACGGACGGGTGCAACTGCTACATTGAGAGAGTGATCAGTGTACAACATTATAAATGGCGGCACGAACCGGCCTGAAGCATCGGAACTTGATCCAGCAGTCCTGCCATCTGGAACAAGCTGAAGTTGGTCGGCCAGTTAGGGGTCATAACCGCATCAAGAACACTGGTCGAGAAACCGTTCATGGATATTGAGCATTCATTATGAAAGTATAGAGGAGGGTTTGTGGCAATCTTCACTTGGTGTTAGTTGGTGAATATAGCTTTTGCAAATCTCTCCTTCAAAATCTAAAGTGTGTGCAAAACTTGGGGCAGACCTAGTCGATGCGGGGCTGCAGAATGTGACAGGGCTGAATTTCACCCTAGTCGTTAGTGCCATTTGTGGCTATGTCGGGGACCGTTTTGACCGCTACATCGGGCCAAGTATCAATGCCTCCTTCATTCTCTTTTCAACATACTTAATTTTTTTAATGCAGGCAGGATTTGCCATGCTTTGTGCCGGATCAGTACGTCATAAGAACACCATCAACATCATGCTTAAGAACCTTCTCGATGCATGTGTGGGTTCCATTGCATGGTACTTCTTTGACTTTGCCTTTGCCTATGGAGAAGGGACTTCGAATGGTTTCATTGGATCAGATGGTTTTGCCCTTCACGACTACAACAACTATGGCTACTGGTTGTTTCAGTGGACATTTGCAGCAACAACAGGAACAATCGTAAGTGGGGCAATGGCGGAGCGGTCGTCATTTATTGAATGGCTTTCCTATTCCGGAAAGAGTCCAATCGATCCAACATTTGGAGGAGTAGGGGCCATAGACTATTAAGGATGCGGGGTTGTTCACTTGGTTGGGGGTAGTGCTGCCCTCTAGGGTGCATACCTTGTTGGACCAGGGACTGGGCGATTTAATACAAACGAAGCGACATTGGAAATAAGGGGTCATTCCGCATCTCTGGTAGTACTTGGAACATTCCTCCTTTGGTTCCGTTGGTGTGGATTCAACCCTGGTTCAGCCATAGGCATTGTAGGGATGGAGTACATGGTTGGGCGAATAGCCGTTGTGACAACACTTGGGGTAGCATCAGGGGGTGTAGGCGTTCTTTTCCTTAAGCGACTAATTTCGAGCCCATGGGATGTCATGAGTGCCTACAATAGTACGTTAGGGGGGCTGATCTCTGTCACAGCAAGTTGTGTCGTGATTGAACCATGAGAGGAATTCATTATCGGTAGCATGGCCGGACCTATATACTTACTAGCTAGCCAGTTGCTCCCAAAGGCGATGATTGATGATTCAGTTGATGCAGCCCCTCTACACGGTGGATGCGGGACTTAGGGCTTAGTAGCTGTTGGGCTATTTGCGGGCAAAGAGAAGATGGCAAATTCGCTTGCTCCCCGAGAACAGGTCAAGTACTATGGAGCATTCCATGGGGGTGGTGGTAGGCTACTTGGCGTGCAACTACTCTATGTGGTGGTCATCATCAGATGGGTCGCCTTGACAATGGGTCCTTTCTTTGCTGTCCTCAGTTATATGTGAGTCCTCCGTGTTCCAGTACATATGGAAACTAGTGGTCAAGACATGACTAAACATGGTGGACCTGCCTACCACGTTGGTGGTGCAAGATCGATGATTGTGCAAATGGAGCCGCTTTTAAGAGCGCTCAAAGGTGGAAATGTTTCTTGGAGAGCGGCTTTTGCGATCAACTGTCAGCATGTTGAAAAAGAAAAATAGTGATACCAGAATTGAGGATTCCAAAGCTTCTGGGAAAAATGGAGGGAAAAAAATCATTGATCAAGATAAACAGGGAGTGAAAACCATCGATGTTGCACTGGGAATTGCGGCAGTAAGGTTTCAGGAAGGAAACACCAGTGAAGCTGTATGATAGACTGCACGAGGGGCACCCTTAATGTCCATTTCTCCATCTTCATGGAGCCTCCCACATTGCCAAAGCTAGATTCTGATATTTCCCTGGCCTCATTTTTTTCTCCATCATCATCCCTTGCCACAATGTTTTCATCTTTCCACCTGCTTCTGCGTGCGGTTCTCAACTTCTCATTCCTATTTGATGTTGATTAGCTTAGCGCCGACGGTGTGGGCGGTGCGGAAAATGCCTGCACGAAACAAATGGGAAAGTTCTGACAAACTGTTCATTTATGCAATTTGAACGAAGTGAGTAAACTTTCAAAACCAATATGTTGCAAAAAAGATAAAAGAAATATTTTGCTTTGAAAGGGTTAGAGTTTTGCAACAATCAAGTTAGCATGATGCATAGCTTGTGTCTTTTCATACAAGCATGGACATCAAACAAAAACATTCAGAAGCCACGGGTCTCTTCCATCCCGGAGGAGGCCATTCAAGTAAGCTTGATGTTCGCTGAGGATCTGGCCATCATGATGGAGGCTACAACCCGAAACAGGTAGGAGATCAAGTCTTTTATGGACCGTTTTTGCTTGGTGTCGGACATGGCAGTAAACTGGGGTAGGAAAACGCCGGGCTGGTGGATGCACCAAGACGGGGAAGGATCGCCAGAGGACCCACCGGTGTCATGGCAATCGGCCACAATCCCTTGAAGCCTCTGTTTGCATTTTAGGTGGTCAGTTGTCGGCTATGGGCAAACCATCTACAAACGATGCATGGGTTATGATCCGGGCTATGGAAAAGCTGAAAGACTGGTAGGACAAGCGCACTTCTATCTTTGGAAGGGCCCTGGCCATGAGAAATGTGGAGCTGATGGCACTGTAAGACAAACCAGCTATTTGGCCACTGAGCCGCTTGGTTGCAAGGGGAGTAAGATAACAGCTGGTGGTCTTCCTCTGGCGCTGCAATCACGAAACGCCCCATGTGTTCAACGGGGTAGCCTGGGACTCAGTGGTGCAACAGAGGCTGCAAGGGGGGCTAGCAATTCTAGACCCTGAAACACAGGTTGTGGCTCTCTCACTGTAATAGCTAAAATGGTTAACATGCTCACCAGGCCTCATGGGAATCGTTGGCCTTAGAGCAGCTCGCTAGACTCACACCAGAGACGCCTGCCGGTACAGACCTTTGGAGATGGTTGGGCCCTTCCAAAAACAGCCAGCAGGTCTCACGGGTGTGATAAGCCAAGGTCCGAACATCGCGGCTTCACGTACCCTTCGGATAAAACCCCGAAGAAAGCCCCGAAATGCGAATCTTGGATGAGTACAGAAATGGGGTCCATCTTGAGTTTCTGATGTCCATCTGCATGCATCATTTGGATTTGCCCTTGTCCTTGTTCAAAGTAGTCTTGCGCGACCGATTAGCGACCACGAGGGATTTAAGGAAACAATTATGAGCTCGGTTGACGACAATTTCAATTTTCCCTTGCATCCGCAGTAGCGTGCGTGGCATTTTTGAATTCTTCAGTACCACGCAAGCTCGCTTCCCACTTTGCGCGCGCACGCCAACTTCCTTTCTTGTTATCCTTCATCTCCGCGTAACCCTTCGTCTTCCTCTAGATCCTTTGTCCTATCCTCTCCTTGCCTACTGGCGTGATTGATTTGGTTGTCAGTTGGTTTGGTCGGATCAAGCCGTAAGGGCAAGCAATCGCACGGCTTGAACGACCACCCCAAGTGAACCAAAAATTTGATCGTCCCGCCTTCTTACCTTCGTGAACCTTCTTCCTTCTCTCCTCCTCATCTACACCCCTCGCTATCCCCATTGCATGTTGGTGACTCATCGCCTTCCATGCTACAACTTTGTGCAGCCCTTTTCTCTCGCTCTCTTTGAACTCAACTGCAATACTGCGCAAGCCATGCGTGAAGACTGCGACGCCGAACAGGCTTGACGTACCCAAGGAAGGGGCGGAATGACGGTGTGGGGTGGAATTAGTGTTAGACTTGGGGTAAGGCAGACGGAGGGATTGGGCAGTGCTGAATAGGGGAATGTCGCAAGCAGCAGGGCCTTGTGGCTATGGCTGGCCTGCCTTCAGTCGGGTATGGTGGATGTGCACGCGGAGTGCCAACTTTGTTGTGATTTTTTAATAGCGAGGGACTCACTTCTTCTCCATTGTTGCTTTGTCCTTTGGTTGTGTGTGCTAAAGACTAAGTTTGGATACTCAGTCGTGTGCACGGCTATGGTTGCGACTGCCTATGAATGTTGAATGCTTCGCTGTCAGAAAGTCTATGGATGTATGAGCATTGAAGGTATGTGGTGTCTTCGTCTCGCTGAGCACATGAGTGCGCAACCGGGGTAGTTGGTTGATTGGCTGTCTGCTTGAGTGCATGAGTGTGCTGATACACTCTTTCCCCTCCTGACTAATTGTCAATCTTCGCTTTTGGAGTGCGTGCAAGATCGTCAGCGGCCTCCTTCCCCCTTTCCCTGCCAGCGCAAGTGTGATGTGTCAATGTCTCCGTTCACCCGGCATATGCGCAGGCCACCAGGGACATCAGGTGCACGGATTTATTTGTTCCACCCGATCTCTCTGCCACTGGCCATCGCCGTTTATCAAGGGGACAATTGGTTGGAATCAAGACGGTTAGCAACTTGGGTTTA